CCCACCCCCGCAGACACCGCGTCCCGGCCCAAATTGCTTCCTAAAGGGGGTTTCGGGCAAACGCCAAGGGAATGGAAGAATTTAAGGATGTGCAGCCGACGCACACGGCGTGTGCGTAATGTGGATTCGTGCTGCAGGCAAAGGTATTCTGAGCAATGATTCTTTCCAGAGACGATTTGTACGGGAAACGGATCCCCCTCCCCCTTTCCTCCTCTCCCCCGAGGACAAACATTTAGCAGCAGTCTTCAAATCTTGCCCAAACCGTCCGGGACCCCTCCACATCCGCGCTCGCGCAATAATATTTTATTACGCTGCTTCAGCCGCTTCACGGAGACCCTGCCGTGGTCGGCTGGCCCTCCCAGTCCGAGCGAACGGTGCAAGGTCGGGCGGCCTGCCCAGACCACCTCCGCCTGGCTCTCCCGCCTCGCAGGCCCTAGCCAAGGGGCCGACCCTGCAGGGTCCCCCGGCCAAGGCGGGTCCGCTGCCTCTCCCACAATCGCACCCTTGGACGCAGCGGATTCGGGATGAGCGCTGGGGCTACCCTCCGGCCAGGCCCAGCTCGGCGGACCGAGGGCAAGCCGGCGGCCAGGCTAGGCCCGCCCGCGAGGGCCTCGGATCCGTGGCTGCGATGCCCTATAAAACCGAGGGAAGGCGCGAGCGCACTTTAGGGTGGAAAGATTGGCGGAGGACCGGCCCCACGTCCGGACGCTCGCAGCCGGCTACGTTTGCCGGCGAGGAAGGAAGGAAAGGACCCTGGGAACTGGGAAGCCCAGGTTCCTGCAGGAGCTGCAGATTTTGCCGGAAGAGGGAGGAGGTGTCTGGGCGCTTTAAACAAATGAATGCCGCCCGGCGCCCTGGGTTGAGGAAATGGCTACCGAGCGTCTGGCTAAGTGGAAGGGATCCATGAATGGGGCTTGTTGCTTTTGTGGTCGCTTCTCTCGACGCCTCCCGGAAAGCCGGGCGCTTTGGGGCAGGTTTGGACTCCGGTGGCCGAACAAAGCCCCTGTGCCCGAGCCCCGCTTAGGCTCGGGATGAGCTGAGGTGTGCGCACAACCCGCGCCTCCGCGCGGGCAGCGGGGGTAAGCAGGGGCTCCGGAGCGTCTGGCCGGGCTTCTCCCTCGGCAGGAGTACTGCTGGTACACGGGGCCCTCTGTAAGGTGCTGGCACCTGCCATTTCTCCCGACAGCGGGAGAAAGATGCGGAATAAATCGGTGTCCCTAGTCGCCCCCTCGTTTTCTCCCTTCTGACTCCTGCCAGCATCTGCAAAATCAAAACTTTTCTTCCTCCCTCTCTTTCTAAACTCACAAAAAATGACGCAATCCAGAGCCTGCAAAAGAAAACAAGGTTTTGCTGAGAAAACAAGAGGAATGGAATTTGAGGTTGACACCCTGTCAAAAAAAAAATTTTTTTTTAAATCCCCGCTACCCACTAATCCCATCTTTTGAGCACCTCGTTAGACATCCACGTAAAAGAGAAACAATGGTTTCGCTCCAGACGAGGAGCAAAGGCGACAAAAGCTGGGCACTGAGGAGGCAAGGGAAGCCCGGAATCTCCGAGGCCCCAGGGAGGCCAGGTGAGGCCGCGCCCCCGCGCTCTCGCGGCCTCTCCGGAGCTCTGGAGGCGCCCTGGTCTCCGGGCTGACATCTCTCCCCACCCCACCCCCCAAGCCGCGGCACCCCGCCTCCACACCCCGCCCCCTGCGGCCCGGCACTGCGCCCTGGGTGGGGAGGTGATGTGGAGAGGCAGGGTTGGGCCAGGCCCCGGCACGTCCCGGGGTGGCCTGGGCCCGGGGCTGCGCCGTGAGAGGCCGGGAGTCTCCTCCCCGAGGCTCGGCAGCGGGAAGAGGCCTCCTCCCCGGCCGGGCGCCAGGCCCGCGGGACAAAGTTCGGAAGCGTGGGGACAGCCCGGCCAGCGCCATTTTCTCGCACTTGTGGTTGGGCCAGGTTGTCCGGGCGCATCAGCCCCGGCTCGTCTCCGCTCCTCTCCCTCGGATCCCCAGCCCTGCCTCTCTCTATCCGCCGCCGGGGAAGGAGGGGCGAGGCTCGAGCCGAGGGGCCCCGGGAGGGGCGCCAGGCTGCGGGGTCCGGGCAGAGCGCGGAGGCACCATTGTTCCGGGCTTGCAGAGACCGACACAAAGTGAAACCTATCGGCGCGGGCCTGGGGCAGCCGCTTCCGAAGCCAGGCCTGGGATTCAGATCCGGGAGAATCGCAACGCCTAAGAAATCAGCTCCTGTTCGCCGCTTCTGCGACTCGAGGAAATGAAACGCCATTAATATTTGAAAAGGCAATTATTTTCCTGTTCAATCGAGAACTGTCTTCATGAATAATTTGTAGCGAGGTCTATTGCCATTTGAGAAACATTTTGTTGGAGTTTCTTCCCCCCTCCTCTTTTCATTGCTGGGGGTGGGGGGAGGGATGTGAGAAATTCCGGAGCAGGCGAGGCTGTGTAGATTTTTTTTTTAAGTAATGAATCAGGACCTCCACTGGGAAGGACGCACTTACAATTCTGTCCTGAATAGAAGCAAACCTGAGTTACTCCGGGCGCACTGAACTTGCTTCTCTGCTGTAGGTCGATTGTACTAAGAATTTAACCATTTTCTGCTTCACAGACTTCAAACAGTGGGCCGGCAAAGAGCAGGAAAAGTTTGTTTGTTTAAAACCTCCCTGTCATTAAGGATGAGTTCCTTCTCCCGCTCAGGCTGTGCATCTACCTTCGCGGTACCGGCCGCCACCTCCTGGAGTGGCGGGCCTGCGGGTCAGGATCAGGGTCCCACCTTTCCCCTACTTGGATAAAACTCTGGGGGCCGCCAGATGCGTGCAGGGTGGGGGTGGGGGAGGCGGAAGGAGCTCGGGAAAACCCTACACTTCCCAGACATGCTCGGGAAGGAAAGTACAAGACTCAACGCAAACGCTAGTGTCAGAGCGTCTTGTCCCGGGCCTTCCCTGAGCAGGCAAAGTTTGGGAGCGGAGGAGGGATTTAGCCAGCTTCTTTCCCGGCTGCGCCAGCCTGGGGCAATTCTTTGATTGTAACAACTGCCGCTATTTCCAGCCAGGATGGAGGTGAGTAAGGCAGGGAGCTGTGGAGTAGAAGAGGGGCAGCAAGTTGGAACTTATTTCATCTTTCTCAATCTCCCCACGAGACATCCTCCCTGCCCCCACATGGGGGAGGAGAGAAGATGCTGACTTCTTAAACTTTGGGGGGAGGGGACAAGACATCCTTAGCTAAGCAGAGTACAAACATCGGCTGCTAAACTAATTAATGTAACTTCACAGGCTGTTCTGGGAAGTGTGAAAACTTTCTCCTTGCAATTTTATTAGTTAGAGACGCTTCTGGCCGGAGGAGTTCAACTTTGCAGGCTCTTGCGCGCGGCTCCTTTTCTCTCTGCTAACTAGAACTAACAGATGTGGTTGACACATGTCCCCATTTCACTTAACGGCTCGGTAAATGACATTTAAGACGGATGGGTCCCGTTGGGTCTCTGCCACGGCAAAAAGGAGGGCTCTCCAAAAGTCCCAAGTGCCGGGCTAGCAAGGCTCCAAAACAGGGCCAAATTGAGCCCATCAGACACCTAAATCCAAAATAAGGCACTAAGTAGCTGATGTCTCCGCGGTCCAGGTGGCCGTCAGCTGGTAAGGCTGACGAGTGGAGGCGTTCTCGCCACGCGATTCCAAAAAGACCGCGAAAAGTTAGATGGCAATATTCCCATGCCTTAAGTCAAGCTCTGCGAGCAGGGAGCACACGTTTGCACGCACAAGGACCCAGGCACGCTCATCCTCCTCCCCTAGAACGAAAACCCCGCTCTACCCTCCCCACACACAGCCTCCGGAAACTTCTGGGATTCTAAGAATAGAAGCGCATAATTAATATTTTATGGCCTTGGCGCAGAGTAACACACCAAAACACCCCCACCCCATTTGGAATTTAGGAAAATCCAGCCCCGAGGGCCCAGAAGAGGCCGTCTGCTTCCCGCGAGGGTCCGCACGAGACAGACAGTGCCGAATACTGACCTGTGTGAGTTCGTTTGTGTATTTTGAGATTTTCTGATCTAGCAAAGACCTTCCCACACCCCGGGAAAGGACAAGGGAAGGGTTTCTCGCCCGTGTGCACGCGGATGTGATTTACAAGTTTGTATTTGGCTTTGAAGGGCTTGCCCTGGCGCGGACACTCCTCCCAGAAGCAGATGTGGTTGGCCTGCTCCGGGCCGCCGACGTGCTCCACGGTGACGTGCGTGACCAGCTCGTGCATGGTGCTGAAAGTTTTGGAGCAGAGACGCGGGGGCGTGGGGCCGTCGGCGGTCAGCCACTTGCAGATGAGCTCCTGTTTGATGGGCTGGCGCATGTAGCGGAAGAAGGCGCCAGGGCCGTGGGGCGCCGAGAGGTTCACGGTCAGGTTCATGCCCCCATAGCCATGCAGGGCGGCGGCGGCGACCAGGGCGTCGCTGCGGGCTGTGGGCCCCGGCGCGAAGGGCTCGGGCCGCGCGTACATGTCTCCAGGGAGCCCCAGATGTAGGAGTCCATTCAAAGGACTGCTGGGGGAGGCCCGGGGAGGCTGCTCGTGGAGACTCGGGAACACCGAGGGGCTGGCGGCGGAGGCGAGCTGGGGGCCATGGTGTCCAGAGCTGCTACCTGTTGTCGAGACAAATAGCGCGCGTGAGAACGGGTGGCGTGGGCTCCGCGCTCCACCCGGCCCCGGGGGGCAGGCCCAGCCCAGTCGCACCGCTGCCTCTGCCGTCAGCGCCGGAATCCGGAGCCAGAAGGCGGCGGCAACGAACCGAGGGGAAAGCGCGTGGCCAAGCGCCTCTGCTGCGGTTGGGCCGGGCAGCTGTTCGGCGGAACCTTCTGCAGCCCCATGAGCCGCAGAGGAAAGGTGGCGGAGGCAGAGGGGGAAAGGGCAGTGGGGTGCGCAGCTCTGGGTCTGGAACGTGCTGGGAGCCCCCGGGTTCTGCTCCAGAGGGGTCCGACCTGCACCCCAGGCGAGCTTCGCTGCCAGTTCCCCGGGGCGCTCGCGGTCGCGGCGCCCTGCAGGGGAGTGGAGGCAATGGCAGTGGCGATAGTGGAGGTGGCGGTGTTGGAAGTGGTGGCGGTGCTGAAGCGCCCCGGCCATATATACTAATTTCGGCTCTCGGCTCGGCTGGGCGAGGACGGCCTGCTGCATCCCGGCCCGGGCTCCCCGGAGCTCCGGGTGCCGGGCTGCTCACGCCACCGTCACCTGACAGCGGGGAGGGGAAAGAACAACCACAGAAAACTTCTGCAAAGTTGTTCCCCCCCCCTCAAGTTTTGGGTTTTGGCTTTTCCCCCCTCCTTCTCTCTCAATCTTTAATGCCTACGTGAAATCCCTTACGCTGCAGAGGCAGCAGCGGGGCGCGGGAGAAAGTGAATAGAGATTCCGGGGGCCTTGGTCGCGGCCCGCAGAGAGGAACAATCGCCCAGGTCGCCCATTGGCCCGCGGCCGGGCCCGACGTCAGCGATGACAGGTCCCGCCGCACACGGACACACACAAACACACGAGCACAGTCACACAGCGGTCCCTCCTACACTCCCCCCCCCCCCAACAGCCACTCTCGCTGCTACTGCTCATGCGCTCTGACCCGGGCACAGATTGTTCTCTCTCCCAGCGCCCCCTCCCCCTCGTCTGGGTGGGACAGCTTCGCCTGGTGGCTCCTGGAAGTCAGCAGGGCCGGGGTATGCCTGCATTCGCCACGACTTTGGCGGCCGGGGAGGAGTGTCGCCCTGGGAGTCGCACCCCCGGGACAGACAGCACACCCTACCCTGCCCGGTGGGCAGCGCCGAGCGCGCGGGGATGGCGGCTTGCTGGGCAGCTCGCCCCGGGAGCCAGGAGGAGGCGCCGGCGGGGAGGGGAGGAGGCTGCAGCCTAGGCTGCCGGAGCTGAGGGAGAAGGAGGAACTCCTCGGCCAGCGGCCCTGGGGCCTGAATTGCTCCCCTCGCTTTCTCTTAAATCTCTGGTTTTCCTCGTCCTCTTTCTCTCTCCTTCCCCACACCTCCGCGGCCACACTTCGTCTTCCTACTTTGGTCCTTTCTTCTCCCCTTCCTCTCCCTCGTCCCCCCCTTTCTTCTTGGCCTCACTAGCCCCTTCTCCCCGGTGCCTGGAGCGCTCAGAGATAGGGGAACCCAGGAATCCAGCGCTGACCAGAGCCGGGGAGTGAGCCCAAACCAGAGATGACCTGGGAGAAACTGGCTTCGAACCCACCCCAAGCCCTCCAGACCGACCCGCAGGCCGGGCGGCCCAAGAAACAAAGGCTTGGGGCAAGTAGCGAGGAGGAACAGGTCCTCGCCGATCTGGAGTCTCCAGCTCGGTATCCCGCTGAGGGATGGAGCCTCTGGCAAGGGGATTGGGGGGCACTTCCACTCTCAGCTCCGGCCACTTGTTGCCGCTGGGCCGAGTGCCTGCCTCCCTTCTCGCTCGCGTCCTGGGCTCTGTAAAGAGTGGACGGCAGGTTTCCCAGTCCAAGCTCTGAGAGGGCCTGCGGACGCAGGTCCTCCTCCCGCGGGACGCCCTCCTGGGCTGCGGGCGCCACCTTGGTGGGCAGTGGAAAAAACTTCTGTTCTGGCCCAGTGGAGTGTGCGTAAACAGGGGGAGTGTCCGTTGTCTGCGCCGACGGGCTGGGGCCAGCTACACCAACCCGCAGTTTAAAGGGCTGCAGACCCAGCCTTACTCGCTGTAGTCAAAAACACCGGCCAAAGTGCTCGGGCCTCCCAGGCTGCCGCAGAAAGTGTCCCCAAAAAGAGAAGGGCTTGGTTTTAAGAGAAGTTTTAAGGATCGAGTAAAAGACCCTGTACCCCATCAGCTGAGGCCAGAAGTTTAAGCAGATTACAAGGAGCTGATTGAGCCGCCCCAGCCAACCCCAGCACCACCGAGGACTATTCTTAGACAGTTCCTCGTCAGTAAATAAGGGCTTCTTTTAAATTAAAAAAAAAAAAATTAACTTATTTATAATGGTTGGCAGATTCTTTGAAACTTTGTTCATTTAATGCATTGTTCCCCTTTCGGGCTCTCTGGGTGCCGCACTCAAGCCAGGGATTAACTTCCACAATAATTTCCCTCGGCTTTGACGAGCCCAGGCCTTTCTGCTTCTCGGGCGGAAGAGCTTAGGCGCCGCTACCAATAGACGCTGCCTTAGCATAAAAAAAAAAAAAAAAAAAAAAGTCCAAAGAGAGGGCTTGACAGCCGGATCCCTTCTGCTCACAAAACCAGGGGCTTCCCCACACTAGTTTGGAGACCGGGATTGGAGAATGTCTCCTTTCCTGGCTTTCTCCCTCGCTCACTTCCTCACTTCCAGGGGCTTCTCGCTCTGCCCAGAGTTGCCTCCTCGCTGGTCTCCTGCCCTGTTTTCCCTTCCTCCAAGCGCTCCGGGGCCTGGTGTCTCCAGCGAGGTGTTCGCACGTCTCCGTGAGTGGTTTCAAGCCCCCCCCCCCGCAGTGCAAGTGTCTGTTGGGTCTGGTAGTTATGTAGGCGATTCTGGGCTGAACCCGTGGAGACCTCAAAAAAAGAAAACGAGCGGGTTCCCCTCTGGAACCCCTCGCTCAGCTCTTCCTTCTATCTCTCCCCTCAACAAGTTTGATCAATTTCCCCATGGCATTTGGGCCTCAGTACAGGGGCACTTCTGCGATAGTCGGGCATGCCACCTAAACCTAGGCAATCTGCAACCAAATGGCCATTCAGGATGTTCGTCAAATCCACCATCCACTTTAGTTTTGAATAAGACTGATTTGCACCGAAATTAATCCCTTAATATGTACACTGTGACACCCTTCCCCCATCAGGAGCTTGAGTAACAATACAGAATAGGGGTTCTTAACACATTTTAGGCTGTGAATCCCTTTGGAAGCCTGGTGAGGTCGGTGAGCTCCAGATAGGCCTGTGGTGTGTTGCCCACACTCACAGTAGGAAAAAAATACTAACTTTCAGTTTGAAGGTAGTGAGAATAAAGATGTGATTTTTCCCATTCAAGTTCACGGACCAAATTCGAACTGACTCCGTGGACTCCAGGTTTAAGAAGTAGAGGATTTATACACATAGACTGTTAGGACACAGCACCCTGTCTGTTACTAACTTTGCCCTTGAAAAGCTTCCAACGTGTGTATGGCTTTTTGTGCCAGCAGCAGAAGGGCAGACACATCTGATTCAGCCAAAATACTGACAATAGTCTGGCCCCATGGAGCTCCTTCCCAGATGCAGCCTTCCCTAGAAGTGCTGAAAACATCTAGACTTAGCCTGGGTGGATGCTTTTTCAGTAGCCAGGGGTCAGCCGACCTGCAGGTCAATGAGGTTGCCTGATCCTTGCAAGCTCCTTGGAGCCACATGGTCCATACCTTGGTTGGCTAAATACAGCAATCAGACCAGGCATTCTCCCAGGGGAACATTTCCTCAGGGACAGCCATACAGAGGAGGAAAAAAAGAAAAAATCCCTTGTTCCCACTAATATTTATAAACAGGAAACTTTAGAGATTCCATAAAGGTCTTCAAGGCATATCTGTGACATAAGTCCAAAGCAGTATCCAGCTATCCACAGATGACACGTGGAGCACCTATATCAGGGAGACATATTTTAGTCTCCACTGGGGCCTTCCAGTGCCCAAGGAGCAAGAAGCCCAGGTTTCAGAGACTCTTCAGTTGGACACGCTAAGGAATGGTTATGTCCTCAGAGTTTCTCAGATTTTTTCTTTAAAAATCTTTTCTCAGCACACTCTGGCCCAACCTGAAGTATTCTATTCCTAATGATGCCTGGGGTTATGGCAGCATTGAATTCACTTTTTTTGCTCCGACATCTCAGGCAGAGATCAGCAAGAAGAACTGGCAGCTGTGATGGGGACCTGTTTGGAGCATACTGCACTATCAGAGATAAAACAGCATTACCTGCCTTAGCCCTGCCGCATCCCTCTGCCCAGAGAGGCTCTCAAGCCATTGCCCAGAATCAAGCCCCACTTATCTTTGCCTGCCCCAGTCAGACACTGCAATAGCACAACCTAAAGTGATTTTCTAATCTACTGTGTAGAAATTTGGCAGCCCTGCCATCTATCTGCCAGAGCTCCTCACATCATTGGCTCAAGTGGAGGAACGTCTTGCCCTCTCTCCCCTGGAAAGGAAAGAAATGGGAGGATTTCAGATCACTAGCTAGGCTACTATTTTTTTCCTTTTTGATCTTTTAAGCAATGCTAAATGATGATTATCTGTTGCAGGTTTTGCTCAGAGCAGGGTCCCAGAAGCTGAGGGCCAGTGCACAGAGCCTGGCTAAGCACAAGCCTTCTGAACCAGTTGTCTGAATGTTCTGCATCTAGATCTGCAGTCACTTGCTCAGTCCTTTCTTCTCAGTTTTCTGGCCAGGTTAGCACCCATAACAAGGGGGTAAATCTCTTCCTAGGCTATTCACAGACGAACTTCAAAATTCCTGCGGTGGGAAGTTGTCTCCAGTCTTATGAAAAGAAATAACTGAAGCCACAGGAGCCTGTATGTCCAACTCCAAATTGTACAAAGGAGATGAGATCTATCAGGATTTTGAAGATAAGGGGGAATATTCTTCTCGTCTGCTATGAAAGTTTGGGCTTTAATCACCGTTATTAACGGAACTGAGTATGGAAGAATATACACTCGGCTAGAATTTAATTTCCAAGCAAGGGTTCTGGGAAATGTCTTTTGACAAAAGATTAAGAAATATGGCTAAAGGATCCTCCAGAACAGCATTGAGGAATCAAAACAACTGAATTTACATAATAACCACATCTCTTTAAAGACTTCTGCCATCGAATCATCTCGAAATAATAAAAGAAACATTGCCTGAGTTGTCCATTTAATTTTTGTTAAGAGGGTTGCTTTGCCTACCATCAAGGGAACATCTTTGGAGACAACCGTCAGCTGGTGGTGTAGATGAAATAAAGGAAACTAGACGCCTGGGAGGGAAACCACCCAACCCTAAATCATATGCTTATTCTAAATGGAATATTAAATTAAATTCTTCACAATGAAGGTATTCCTGACAGAGCGGCTGTCAGTCACTCCCTGTTCAGACACCACATTGTGGGAATGTCGTCACCACCACATTGCAGAAGGCTGGTGTCCCTGGTAAAGATGATGCATATCATGTAAACCCCATCACCAAGATCAAAGTCTGCTCCTTTCATGGAAGCCAATACATGTCAAACCTCATTCCAATCAAATCGTCCGGAAATGAATTCAAGATGAATATGTCATAGAATAATGTGACAGTGGAGCTGCAGAAGGTCAGGGGTGGTTGTTTCAATGAGAGAGTCGTCAAATATTAATTCTAGAATGTCCAGATGAGTAGGCATTGAGGGAGATTAGCTGGCTGCTGGTGGGATGTTGTGTTGCTGATTTGTGTGCAAACGCATCAAACAGCAAGGTGTTGTGTTAAGTTTCAATGAACTCAAGAAACACCCCAAACTCACAACCTAACATAACAAAAAACAAAACAAAACTCCTTACTCAAAAAAAAAAAAAAAAAAGAAAGAAAGAAGGAAGGAAGGAAAGAAACTAAAAAAGAAACGTCAGCAAAGCAATATTCCAAGAGGAGAATCTTAACTTACGCGAGTCTTTCAGAGTGTTTCGGTAAAGCCGGAATTGTTTCCTCATCACCAAGGAAGTCTTGTATCTCATTTTCTGACTTTGAGCCTGTTTGGCGAGAAAAAGAGGACAGTCACTGGTCGAACAATTTGATACTTTGTTGTCTGGCAAGATCCTCTGGCCTGAATGTATGAGTGAAGAAGATGTTGGTTTGAGGAGAGTCTTTCGGTTTTTCTTTGACCATTTTCAAGTTTGGTAGCTAAAGAATGATAAGGACTCCACTGGGAACTGCCCATATTTATTACCAAACAATACATCCTTGATGAAAAATAATAAAAATCATAATTTCCCAACTAGACTTCTATCTGAAATTCACTTTGTGGCTTTGCCTTGCAAGTGGACTTAAGCCCTCTTTCCAGGCTGTGTTAAAAAATCTCACATTGGAATTTATTCTATGAGAAGCCCCACTTATTTTTTTTTCAAGTGTATTGGTTGTATTGTAGTGGGATTTAATAGTGGGAGGGACCGCTGTCTTCTAGGAAGTTAAACAAACGAACAAACAAAACAAAAAGCAAACAAACTAAAAAAAAAAAAAAGTTAGGATGTTAACAGTGAGTTGTAAGTGTTGGGACTGAGAGGAATTTCTTTGAAGTTTTTCAGATCCTGTCCTGCTCCTTGGTGTTGCAGAATCCCTTCGCCTCATATATGACCCTCCCCCAGGCCTATTTTGGAGCTATCACTGGTTGATTTTTCACAGTCGATGATATAATAAAATTCAACCAGATTAGGGAAAAAAAGGCATAATTTTCATCACTGCATCCTGGTTATCCCCTCGTCTTAGTTGAGAAGGTCAGAAGTAACATCCCTTTAAAATATATGTGTTCCTTTTCAGACTGACCCTGTGGCTAGAGCTACCAAGTCTTTGGTCATTTTTAAGCCTGTCTTTAAAACCATCCTGGGGACCACTGCCTCTGTCAGAGGAGGCTGGAGGCAGTGGAGCAGCTAAACAGAGGCCATCCACCGAGCCCCGACACTCCATTTGGCCTAAAAGACAAACAATCATTGAAAAGGTCTCAGGCTGGACAAACACAGCAAGCCCTCTTGTCAATGAGGACGTCTGCCTGTCTTGACACTCCAGCCCACAGAACAAGCAATTGTTTAACTTGTTGAACCACAGGCCAAATCCAAGTGGGACTCTGTTATCTCAAAGGGTCTCCAGTTCTCTATGCCCAAAGATTTCTCTCTCTCTCTGTCCTCAGCCCACATTTGAACTAGCTTGGCTGTTTTCACCCTTCTCTCTCCCTTCCCTTCCAGGTCCAAGCCTAGGGAGCGGGGGTAGACTCACCTTTTCCCAGAGGGTTTTATTTATTTTCAAGTCTTTCTAACCAAAAGGCATCCTTCCCCAGAGGTAATAAGCTCCTTCCTGCACAAATCGGGAGAAAAAAGGAGACCCTGTCTTGCATTCCTACAGAAGGGCGGCGTGCTGGGCGTCCTCACTCTGAAATGTCCTCATGGCAGGATGTCTGGCACGGGAAAATCCTGGCTGGTTGGAGCTAATAGAATTGACTTTTTTGCTTCCAAGGGAAATGGGTGTGAGGTTTCCTGGAGACCTCTGTCCACCCACAATGCTGCCCCACTCTGATCTCTAAGAGGTCTGGGTCACTTCTACCTTCAGGTCCTAGCAGCCCTTTGCCTATTAAAAACCCACAGGCATGCGAACAAAAGTTGCGGAGGCCGAACTAGGGCAGGCAAGGGGACCTTAATCTGCTCTCTGTAGCAGGCATCTCCACCACCAGACCCTGGGGGACCAGGGAAAACATCTCCTTTGGTTCAGACTCAGACACCACTCAGCAAGCCAGTCACCTCGCTGATGTAGGGGTGAGAAAATGTGGGGACAGGACCGGCCCGGGTCCTGAGGTCCCCACTAGACTGGCGTGGGAGGCCTGCCACAAGGTTGGCTTGGTTTTCCAGCATGCTCTCTCCAGACCATTTCCCCACACCAGTCAGCGGCCCCTGAATCACCAGTCCCGGAGAACAGCCTAGAGATTCATTGGGATCTGCCTTCCTCCCCCCTCCTTGGAAGAAAGGGTGCCAGCGAGGCCCAGTGATTGATCATGAAGGATGAGAGCACGAAGGAGGGCGGTGGGTACCTGCAAAGGCACTATTTTTCTTTGAAAAGAGCGCCGAGGCCGCACCTTGTGAGGCCGCCCTAGCCGGCGCAGGCCAGGCCAAGGTCAGAGGTCACCTGCAGCCTGCTTTCCAAGCGGTAACTTCAGGCCCCAGCCTTCAGTGCTGCTCCACCACGCAGATTAACTCGGAACCAGTAGTGGCAAAGGCGTGCTCGCCTCTCGGCCACAGCTCGGCCCGGGCGCTGCGCAGAGCAGGGGCCTCGGCCCGCTGACCTGGGGCTCCCGAGCAGAAGCAGAACCGCGCTCCTGGCCTCTGCCGGCGGCCCGCTATTGCCCGCTGCTCCCTGAACCTCCCTAGCCACCCTCGCCTGGGCCTCCAGCACCAGGAATTTGCGCCGCGAGGCTAGGCTGTGAGAGGGTTTCTTCATTCTCCTCCTCCCTCAGCAGTAGCTCGGTTTCCCCAGCTCGGGGCTGGAGGCTGGGCGACCTTCTGGTGCTAGGGTAAAGACTGCAGCCATGGATCGACTGCAGAAGCAGCCCGGGCATTTAACTCTCGCTTTGACATCCCCCCCTCCACCTGCAGGCGTCTGGGGGCAGAGAAAGGGAGGATGCTGCAGCAGCCTGGGTCGCTGCGAGGCCAATTCCGTCGGAGAGGGGGAGAAATGTGACCTCGGAATCCGTAGGGAGTTTCCTGAAGGCGGGCTGGCCGAAGGACAGCTCTCCAGCACCCCGTCTCCATCCCTAAGACAAAGCTGGCTCTCAACTGTCCCCATGGGCCACTGTCAACCCCAAACTTTGCGGTCAAGCCTTTTTGAGCCAGTCCTGGATTTCTGTCACGGCCCAACTCTGTTCCTGCCTCACTTGGCCCCTAATTTCCACTCTCCTTGTGTGCCCAGAGTCCGAGGCGGCTGACGCTGCAGCATGCTCCCCAGGGAGCGAGGCCCAGCCCTCGTTCGCATCCTCGAGAAAGAAAGCCAAGTCCCCAACCCGCGGCCGGCTGCGCGCAGAGAGCGGATCCCAGGGGTCAGAGTCCTGAGGCAGGACCAGGATGCGGGAAGGCGAGAATCCGCACCCGGCGCTGACCCAGCCCGCATCCGCTGTCAGGTTGGGGCGAAGTTCCATCCTCTTGCTGCCAGCCGGGCCTGCTAACTTGGCTCCTTTGACCCTGGAGAGGAGAAGCTGAGTACCTCTCCGCCATCCCGGTGGGGGCAGGGTAGAGAAGCTGCCCCCAGGGGCCCCTCCCGGCGCGGGTCCCTCTTACTGGGCGTGAGGGTAGCTCTGGACCACGAATCCCCTTCTTGTGCCCGCAGTGGGGCATCTAGGCCATTTACAAGGAGGGAAGGGAAGGCGGGTGGGCAACAAGCTGCTTTTGGTCCGTGTGCCAGTGGGAACCCCATTTGGACCCCCTTCCCCCACTCCTGGGAAGAAGGGTAGACCGGTCTCCGGCGTCGCCCCTCTGCGGAAGGGTCCCCTCCTCCCCTCAGTGTCAGTGGGGGTGGGGCCTGCACTTCGGTTGCGGGGGCTAAAGGGGGAGGGGATAAGGGAGAAAGCCTGGCTAGGCCTCTTCCCCCAGTGGGGTTTGGGTGCCATCCAGCCCCACAAGGCGCTTGCTCTTCCGCTGTCTGCCCCCTGGATTCTTGCACTTACCTCGCTCCACCTGTTGCCGGGATCACCTCATTTCTGTACATCACTTCGGGGTGGCTGAGGGGGGACCACAAACCCCTCCAAGCCTCTCTTTTGTGGTTCCAGTTAGGCGGTCATTCTTCATTTCTCCTTTTCCAGCTTTCGGGAAGCAGTTAGGGAATGTATGATGAAGCAGAAATGAGCCGTCGGGATGATATTTTAATGGCTTATATGTCACGTTGGTGCATGTGGCTTTGAACTGGAGCCGCTCGCGTTTCCTGCAGAGAGCGCCGCAAATCCCACTTGATAACTTCTACAACCCACAACTTTTTTTTTTTTCCCCCCTCACATTCACTCTTACCCTGTATATTTGGACACGTTTCCTAAAAATGCCCTCTTGTCAACGTCCCCGTTGGCTTTTCCACGGACTGGAGAGGAGAGGACTGACTTTTCTTTTTTGAAGAATTATTTTCCCTCCCCCCTCCCAGCAGTTACCCTCCCCCGCGGGCCCCCTCCCTTGTTTTCTTGAAAGGCGAGGGGAGGTGGGCTCGATATTCGTTCTCCCCAGCGAGAGAAGAACAGCCTCTAGAGAAAACTTGTCCTTGTAGAGGTTTTTACAACCGCAGGCAGCAGAATCTAGCTTCCCCTTCCAGACAGCAGAAAAGACTTACAGTGGCTCCTATATATAGATGTATATATATTTTGAAGTGTATAATAGTTCAAACAAACAAACAACCCCTTAACTCCCAGCCCTTTCCTTCCATTCCCTATGCGGGTTCCATTCAAAGTTGGCGGGGAATACTGAGCGGCTGGACCCAGACTTGTTGCTGGACACAGAACGTTTGATTTTTTTTTTTTTTTCCTTCTCGAATTTCTATTTCCCAGCACAACCAGCGCAAATGTTCGGCCAGGTCCCTTCAGATACCAGGAAACCATCCCGGATACGAAGGCCGGATTCTGAGCCGGGAGAGCCCAGGAAAAGCGTAGTCCAGCTCGCCAGCCCCAAGCACAAATTTCGTGCGTTTAAAGACCAGGAAACCAGAAGGGCAGGGAGCGGTCGACGCTGGCTGTGCCTTCTTCCAGCCGGTGCAGCCCGTGCGGGCGACGGGGCAAAAAAAAAAAAAAAAAAAAAAAATCATTTTTATTTTCCTCTCGCCCAGGCACTGGTGAGTTTTCTAACGGGCCGCCTGTGAAAGGATGAGTTGAGATTTCTTTGTCTGGAAAAAGAGTTTAGGGCTGCGATTCAGCTGCAAAGAAGCCAAATGAAGTTAGAAACAAAGGGTAAATTGAAGGATTCCGACTCTTGGCTTTTTGTGTTTTCCTTACTAGAAAATAATTAGACCTAATGAATATGCAGACGCCTCGGCTAAACCCTCGGCCGAGGCTGCTGGGTTTTAAACAGAGCTGCGGAGCCGTGCGACCTTCATTCCCCAACCCCCCGCATCTGCGTGCATTTTTTGAAATGCATAAATGTTGCTCGGCTTAATTGATTGAGTCACAGGGATTTTTTTTTTTCCTGCTTTTAAGTGCCATACTCTTCTACCTTTCAACAATCATTTTAATATATAGTCAATGCCTCTTTGTGGACGGGACAAAAAGCAACTACGCGCAGTTGTTGAATAGACTTTGCGCTGGGCAAAGACAGGTTAATCGAGGGCCGCATCGCGAAAACAAGCGAGTGTTGTATGTTTGCACTGAATCCAAATGTCTGCATTTTCCTAACTAAATCAAAGGGAGTGTTATTTCTTTTTCTGCTCACTCATCTGAAGGTAAGTAAATTTTCTCTGGCGATCAAAAGCCTGCTCGGCAACAAAGACCGCGCCCGTTTTTTCCACCGTCCTGGTGTGGCGAGTTGCGGAATTTCAATAACTGTGACAAGGGTGACTGATTTGTGAACTAGAAAAGGTTTGAATGTCACAAAATTTACATTGGTCCTATCTATCGGGGATTTAAATACCAAAAAAGTATTCGGGGATCTCTAGGGAGCTTTGGGCAGCCCACAGGAACAATGGAGCGGTGGGAAATTTACAGTTTTACCTGAATGAATGGGGCCCCGTTTCGGAACAGGGGTGCAGAGGGAGGAGGTTGGCGGGGGCAGCCGAGGGAGATGAGGGAAATGCAAGAAAAGAGAAAAATAACACAAGAGGGGGGAAAAAGAAAAGGAAATCGGCAACAATGTTTCCAATTCGCCATTAAAAACAAACAAGCCTCAACAACCTGGAAAGTTAGGGACTCTCATCCACCTGTGGGGTTTTTTTTTTTTTTTTGGTGGGGGGGAGGACAGGGCACAGGAGGCCCGATTGATTTGATAAAAGTGAGAAAAATCGAAGCAACCAGGTACCCTGAGAAATCACAACACTTGTAGAGAGAGAGTGAAGTGCCCGTGTGCTCCCGAGATCTTAAATTATAAACAGGAGGCGGACGAGGCAAGAGAGAAGCAAACTTCAAAAGAAGCAAATAACAAAAGCCCCCTTTGCTGTCCTTAAAGGGAGGAAAAGGAGGGAAGAAAGAAAAGAAAAGTTGCTGAATCGGGACATTCTGGAAGCGCCTTAGCTGTGTTTACCAGCCGCATCCCCGCCTCCTGCTCCCGGGGACGCCCGAAGTCGCTAATCGCTCTGCGAGGAGCAGGTTTGAAGAAGGAGGAGAGAAAGAGAAAGGGAGAGAGAGAAAGAGAGACAGAAGAGGTGGGAGGGAAGGAGAGAGAGAGAAAATATGACTGCTAGAAAGAAAAGGAATCCTGGCAAAAAAATCTTCCGTGAGAAGAGGGAAAAAAATTTGGCTAAAAAAAAAAAAAAGTTGCTACTCCTGGCAGCCCTGTTTGTCAAAAGGGGATGTCAAGCGCTTTACAATACCTGGGATTGATGAGGCCGGCGGGCCAATGAGCGTTGCGCGGCGCCTCGGCGCGCCCTCCGTTGGCGCGGCGGCAGCGGGCGGGGGGAGCGCGGGCGCACCAATGGGCGTCCGCCTCGGCAGCACGTGACGCCTCCCCCTGCTCTCATTCATCAAGGGGGGGGGGACGGTGTCGTCCTTTCAATTCATTTATCTGCAGGAATGATTGCTGCTATCAGTCTCGCGCTCACCGCCCGGCTGAGGAGGTGAAAGTTTCTCCCCAGGAAGATAAACCGCAAAAGACAATATTGTGCATGATTTGCGCCTTTTCTTTGGCTTTTGCTTTCTTTTTTTTTTCCTTTTTTTTTTTTTTTTTTACAAAAAACAGAGGGGGAAAAAAGGAGAGTGAAGGAGCGAGGAGGCGAGCCTGAGATAAAGGAGAGAGAGAAAAGAAAGGGCGAGGGGCTGGTGGAGAAGTGAGGAGGGGCGCGCGGCGCGAGGCGGAGAGAGGGCGAGCAGTAGCGGCTCCGGCGCTCACATTCCTCTATGCCACAAATCCAGGAGGAAGTTTTTTTGGGGGGCTGAGATGCTCCATGCCTTTTCCCGGGCAGCCTTGACGCGGGGCCCTCTCGGCAGAGACTGAGCGGCGAGAAAGTGAGAGCCCGGCCGGCAGGGTCTGCGCGGCGGGCTCCGGAGCCCGCCTTGCTCGCGGCCGCCAGCCGTCCGGCTTCCCCGCGCTTGGCCGGGCGGGCGCCGGGGTGCGCGGCGCCGCTGCCTGCGGGCTAGGACTTCTCGAGGTGGGTCGGCTCCCCCTCCCTCCTCCTCTTCTTCCTCCTCTTCCTCCGCCTCCCGTTCCTCCTCCTCCTCCTCCCGATTTTCCATCCTCGGCGGGCGAGGGTGGGGGGGGCGGGGGAGGTCGGGGCTCGCCCCGCGCAGCCACGATGCTCCTGGACGCCGGCCCCCAGTACCCCGCGATCGGCGTGACCACCTTTGGCGCGTCCCGCCACCACTCGGCGGGCGACGTGGCCGAGCGCGACGTAGGCCTGGGCATCAACCCGTTCGCCGACGGCATGGGCGCCTTCAAGCTCAACCCCAGCTCGCACGAGCTGGCCTCGGCCGGCCAGACGGCCTTCACGTCTCAGGCGCCCGGCTACGCGGCTGCCGCGGCCCTCGGCCATCACCACCACCCGGGCCACGTCGGCTCCTATTCGAGCGCAGCCTTCAACTCCACGCGGGACTTTCTGTTCCGCAACCGGGGCTTTGGCGACGCGGCAGCGGCAGCCAGCGCTCAGCACAGCCTGTTCGCCGCTTCGGCCGGAGGCTTCGGGGGCCCACACGGCCACACGGACGCCGCGGGCCACCTCCTCTTCCCCGGGCTCCACGAGCAGGCTGCGGGCCACGCGTCGCCCAACGTGGTCAACGGGCAGATGAGGCTTGGCTTCTCGGGGGACATGTACCCGCGGCCGGAGCAGTATGGCCAGGTGACCAGCCCGCGTTCGGAGCACTATGCCGCGCCGCAGCTGCACGGCTACGGGCCCATGAACGTGAACATGGCCGCGCACCACGGCGCCGGCGCCTTCTTCCGCTACATGCGCCAACCCATCAAGCAAGAGCTCATCTGCAAGTGGATCGAGCCCGAGCAGTTGGCCAACCCCAAAAAGTCGTGCAACAAAACTTTCAGCACCATGCACGAGCTGGTCACGCACGTCACCGTGGAGCACGTCGGCGGCCCAGAGCAGAGCAACCACATCTGCTTCTGGGAGGAGTGTCCGCGCGAGGGCAAGCCCTTCAAAGCCAAATACAAACTGGTCAACCACATCCGCGTGCACACGGGCGAGAAGCCCTTCCCCTGTCCCTTTCCTGGCTGCGGCAAGGTCTTCGCTCGCTCTGAGAACTTAAAGATCCACAAAAGGACGCACACAGGTACGGAAATAGCTTTCCTCGACCCACCCCCCTTCCCCCTCTGGGTCTGGGACCCGAAATCCAAAAGTCAGCGGCCGGGGCGCACAAAGCCCGCTTCCTAAGCTTCGGCCCCAGGTTCCCGGCAGGCATGCAGCCAGCCGAAGTGTGCACGGGTTTTTCAGTTGGGACTTGAAATTATGAAAAAGCGGAGAGAGGGTCGGACGAGAAGGAGCTAGGGTAATAAAGAAAACGAAGTATAAAATAGGCCGGCAGAAGCCGGAGCCGAGCCTGGCTTGGCTGAGCCCTTGGCGCGAGCGAAGCCGGGCGAGGTGGTCGGCTCCGCGCGGCTGTGGAGTCGCCTGCGGTTCTCGCTGGCGACAAATCTAAACACTTGCTTCCGGCCAACATCCCTTTCCAGGCACCTCAGAGAGGGCTTTGCCAAAGGAAGGGCTGAGGAAATTGGAGGACATCGGGTGAAGGGCATAGAGAGATGAGAACAAGAGGGGAAATAAGTCGGGCCTGAGGAAGCTTTGGGGTTTATGCATATTTAAAGAGCCCACTTTTCGTACTGACTGGTTTCAGAGCGGGCTTGAGGCTTGGAGGAGTTGGCGAGAGGCGGGCAAGTCCTTTTAGTTAGTTAGATTCCATGGGGCGGTTTTCAGAACCTCGAATCCGCCGCGTTGGCCTTTAAAAACAATCAAGAGACGCTTCGGGAACAGTTAAAAAATAAAAAATAAAAAATAAAAAAGTTTGCGGTGAGCTGGGGGCTGTGGTCTGGTGTCCCGTAGGCCTTCCTGGGCCCAGGCCCCCACGAGGCCGGGAATCCGCTCTCGTTCCCCAGTCTGGTTGGCCCGGGTGATTGCTGAGAACAGCGCCTGGAACTTCGGGCTGAACGCCTTGTCAGGGACGAATTCCTGGCGCCCAGCGCTCTGCCCAGATCACGCTATAAAATGTTTGTGTGTAGGGGGTGGGGTGTGGTGGGGGAGGCGAAGAGGGGGGTGAGGAGCGGCGGGGGGGGGGGAGGGGGGAGGGGGAGGAGGGAAGAGCAGAACAGCAGGAGAATCAGCCCTAACGTGACAATTAGAAAGCAAGGGCTAGGTAGAAGCCTCCCGAAATAGCCCCGGGCAGAAAAACCAGCAGCCTGACCCGCTGCCACTCTGGGATATTAAATTAAAAAAAAAAAAAAAAAAACTAGTAAAAGTATTTTAAAAACTCTAAAAATAAAATCTGGATTTAATTGCACTAGGAGTTAAAATATAGTGAAATTATTTATAAATTCACTGCAGATAAATGAATTTTTTTTGAAGACCCGGGTATTTGAGCTTACAACCCTCGACCGCTGGCTTTTTATTTTGTTCATCTGTTTAAATTTTTTTTTTAAAGGAACTGTTCTAATGAGACCCCTCTTTCTCGTCCTTGGCACCAGGGGAGAAACCCTTCAAGTGCGAGTTCGAGGGCTGCGACCGGCGGTTCGCCAACAGCAGCGACCGCAAGAAGCACATGCACGTGCACACGAGCGACAAGCCGTATCTGTGCAAGATGTGCGACAAGTCCTACACGCACCCCAGCTCGCTGCGCAAGCACATGAAGGTGATCGCCGCGCTCTCGCCGTCCGCCTTTGAGCCGGGAGCTCCCTCGGCTCTCCCGCCGGGGTTGGACCGCGAGCGGCAGCCGGGTGGCGGCAGGGGCTGGCGGAGGCGGGTGGGCCCCGGTGCCACTCAGCCGAGTGGGGACGTGCAGGGAGGGCGGGGACCGGAAAGGGGGATGGGGGCGCCCCAGGCCATGGGAAATTCACCATTTCATAATAAAAGTCAAAAGAAGTGAGCACTGAGCCAGAGGCCGCGACCGAGTTTGCCGCTGGACTGGAGAAGCGGGTGGACAGGGCGGAAGGCGGCGCCATGGCGGCTGGCGGCGTGCAGCGGCGGCTCGCGCTCCTGCGCCCAGCCCTGAGCGCTGGCTCACCTTAACCTTGGCACGCGAAGCTCCGGGGCTGCGGGCAGGAACCGTCCCGGGCTCCGGTCTCAGGTCCGGCCCCCCTCTTCCCGGACCTCTCTTTCTTTGTGAGTCCCGGGGGCGCTGTCCCTCCCTGGAGCACCGCCCGGGCAGGGCCGAGGCGGGGGAGCCCAGCCCAGGTCCCGCGGGTGGGGACGCTCCCCAGCTCCGGGGAATCACGAGCCCCGGGGAAGGAGGCGAGCGGGAGCGCAGCGTTCGTGCGCCCTGGGCGGCCGCCGCGCCGCCTCTCTGGCTCCGTCCCAACGCGACTCTATTCCTGCAGGTCCACGAATCACAGGGCTCGCAGCCTTCGCCGGCCGCCAGCTCGGGCTATGAGTCCTCCACGCCGCCCACCATCGTGTCTCCCTCCACAGACAACCCGACCACCAGCTCCCTGTCGCCCTCCTCCTCGGCGGTCCACCACACAGCCGGCCACAGCGCGCTCTCTTCCAATTTTAACGAATGGTACGTGTAAACTCAGAAAGCACACACCGACCCGACCCCTATTTAAGAGACTGAGCACACACACACACACACACACACACACACACACACACAATATTGCTGCAAGAACCCTGCGAATCGAAACAGCCCCCCACACAGACCCCACAGTCCTATTTTTTTTAAACCTGCCAATAGACCTAGGACCGAGGAAGAGAGGGGAAGCGGCAAACCTTTGAAAAATCTTTCTTTTTCTTTCTGGTTTAATTTTTTTTTTTTTATTTTTAATTTGGCAAAGGCTTGGTAGCTAAGGGGCGGGAGGGGGGTCGGAGAGGAGGCGGCCGCCTGACCAAATGCCGCTAACCCCGAGGGCCTGTTTCTCGTCGGAATCTGAACAGGCTCTTCGTGGGCGTCGGCTTTTTTTTTTTTTT